AGATTCTGAAAGGAGGCAATGGCAACTCACTTCTATGCAGTTGCCAGGAAAAAATACTACCTGTGAACAGATAGACTTCATGAGTCAAACTCAACACTAAGACTTTACCTAAATGTTTATTTCAGTTATATGTGCTGGTTACCAATATTTGTTGATGGAACTTCATCCAATTACATCTGGAGAGCCTAGTATTCCTCACCCGTGCAGATATGAAAAAAAATCTTTAGGTTTAGTTATCTTCTCCTACATTTCAAAACAATGCAAATGAATGCTTTCTTCTGGATCATGTCTTTATTGATTTATTAATGTCACATTAGCCTTCTTCAAAGCCTAAAGACTTGGAAATGGCTGGAGAACTTTGCATATTAGTCCTGCTCCTATTCACTCTGAGCAAAACGTCCAGGGTGTCAGTTCATGAAGAGAGTTTTATTTGTCCTCAGCTCTGGAGTCTACCATCCAGTTGAATGCTTGGAAGTAGTCAGGGAGAGCAGAGAACAGCCTCACATTTACCTAGTTTCATGGGTTCGGCTGAATCCCTAAAGAGAGAGATTTCAAACCAGGTTTCAAAAATGTTCTGCTATGTATGTTGGATGCACTGTTTTATCAATGTCAAAACAAAGTTTCCTTGGAGATCAGTCTATTTGCCAAATTATTGATGTTTCTTATCTTTCATTTCTCAAACAACGAAAAATGGAGTTGGGCCAAGCAATGCTGATATTGTTAGGTCCTATGAGTCAGTCAATTAATTGCCGAAGTTGTATATCAAAGAAATCTTATACATTTGGCTGTTTTTCTATCTATCCATAAACAGTACAATTAATGGTGTTCTGTAACACTTGATTTTTTTTTTAAAAAAAAATATTATACTAGTGAAGAATTAAATAGTAGCTCCAGTTCCCTAATTGGCCAATGATGCCAGAGGAAGAAAAAGAATAAAAAATGTATCCCTCTTCGCCCATTCCAATTTAGGAACTGTATTTAAGAGAAACAGAGAAGATAATCCTTTAATTATGTCAAAAGCTTTTCAAAGTATCTCTTCCTTGTTACAAAAGCCCTGAAGGAATATGAGGGATTTAAGTGGGACATCTATATACTTTGTAATAAAAAATATTCTATAGATGTCAGTAACAAAAAAAGACTTCAGTGATGTCCAGAGAAGATTCACTGGATCCCATTAATTTGTTGGTCTACTTAAGAATTGTAGATTGGAATCCATTTTCTGTTTCTTATTACTTATACCTTCTCCTATGGTCCTCAATTTTCTGTTTAGCTCAATATAACTGTGCATCTCTGCTCAATAATGCATCAGTAGGCCTGGAGATCTGAAGCATTGCTGACTAATTATATTAAAAAATCCCACCAGGATGGCCAGCAAGGAATAGGTCAATGCTTTCATGATTGTCTTTCCACAATGCCATGTCACTTCATGGGCCCAACAATGCCATTTTTTAAAAATTAATTTGAGTGCTTTTGCACATACGTCTGTCTTAAGCTGTTCGGTCTTATTTGAAATTGTCAAGCTGAGGTTGAAAAATGAACTGAGGGAAGAGATGAATGCTGCATCCTGTTGTGCAGAATCTGTAAGAAGGATCCTTCTGAATCTACATTACTCTTCCTTTGGCACTTTCAACTGCTCAATTGCCCTTTCCTATTCAATATGACCTAATATAAGAAAGCAGAACCAAAGCTATAAGCATCCTTGTTAGGTTAGCAAAATGATAGGCATCGGTGAAACTTGTCATAATTTAATACTGATCCATAAAAATCTTAATATTTTACGAGGGCTGACCTCTCCGGCCAAATGTCAACGAAGCAACCAACCAAACACAACAATCCTAAGTTTATGACTACAATTGATAATGTGAATCTGTGTCCAGATGAGAACATGTCATTTATTGTGTCAGAAGAGAGGGAGTGCTATTCTTTTTTAATAGAGGTGACTCTTTGTGCTTTTGCTAGGCTGAGAAGTTTAATAGGTTTGGGATGGTAGATGCAGAATTCTCATTTCACCCCTAAGTATCTGCTCTGCCTTCAACAGAGTTGTCGGCAGCCTTCATATCACTGTACTGCAAGTTTTATCCATTTTGTATGGGCATTTTGACATCATACATTCCTACAAAGGTTGGAGCTTTCATTGCAAAAATGATGCTGATTTCATCAGATTTTTTTTAAAAAAGAATTTTCATCTGCAAGAGAGCTATTTCCATGTTTGAAGTACGTGATGAGCTATTGCAAGAAAAGTTTATCTCTTTGTTTCTTTGAGTGATGGAACATGGGTTTGTGGAAATAATGGAAATATTGGACTGGCTTTGTCTTTCCTAATAAACATATCCCTGTTCAGAAAGAAAGACTTGCCTCTTGCTGGGATATTCATTAATGAAATTGACATGTTGTGGCTGTAATTATTTACTGTATCTCAAAACAAGCAGCATGTCTTCAAGCGAATTTTATACTGAAGTTTTTTTGCTTCAAAATTGCATACTACATTAAACTATAGATGTCCATAGATGGGCTGATTCAGTTATTCACATTTTAGTTTTAAAAACTCAGCGTCAAAAAATTATCTTTTTTTTTTCAAATTTAGGTTCAGTTTAGTCTGCTTCTGTGTTAATCTGAGTTTTTAAAAGATGATTTCATTAAAAATATACCTATTTTTCAGCATATACCTATTTTTCTTTTAATAGTCACATTTTGTATGCATAACGTCTATATATTCCTTTTACTCATAGATGTAATGTGAATGCATTTTCTCCGAATATTCATCTTTTTAAAAGTTACCTTTACATCTCCCTTCTCCTGCTGTTATTTAACCATAATTTTCAGGCAGCAGGTAATGATTGTTCTCACAATAACAAAATACATGCACAAAATCCTGAAACACTCACACACCTAAACACAAAATCTGAAATACTTTACAATGTTCTGAAACCAGTTTAAGAATAGAATAGAATTCTTTATTGTCCAAGTGTGATTGGACACACAAGGAATTTGTCTTGGTGCAAATGCTCTCAGTGTACATAAAAGAAAAGATACATTCATCAAGAGACAAGAATCATAAGGTACAACACTTAATAATAGTCATAGGGTACAATAAGCAATCAAATCATACTAGGAAACAGTCAATATAAATCGTAAGGATACAAGAAACATGTTAGCTTGACCAAATAATGGCTTCCTAGTTTGGATATAAAGAAAACTCAGGACAATCTTCAGTTGCAGTATGGAAAGGGAAGAAACACATGGAATTAAGATTGTGCAAAGCTTTACATTCAAAAGAAAAATGCTTTGCAGCATGTTGGGATTCTCTACTTTTCTTGGCTTACTAAACTGTGCTGTGTACATCTGAATCAGAAAATATATGGCTAACTTTCAAGCTTTTTTTTTTTAAATCTCCTCCCAAAAAAGCATTTTTAAAAGCATTATTGTACAAGAGCTTTTATCCCTCCAAAATATTTCTTTGGTAAAACACATTCCTGAAAATGACCTGCTTGGAAGGGCATCAAATTATACATTTGCATAATTTTCTGAGCCTTTTTCATGAATTTCAAAAAAGTGAGATATAAAAGTCTGCAGAGAATAGCAAAGCCAGCAGGAAAAGAAAATCTGTAATAAAGGCCCTCTACGAATTTGCAGAGCTTAAGTCTACCATAAATATCCCTACCAAAAATTCATGAGTTTGCTAACTGCTCAGACACAATTAGTGAATATCATTACTATCCAATAAAAACACAAGTGGAATTTAAAAGCAAAATGGCAAATGATAAGTTATGGAAAGAGGTTTTTTCTTACAGAGACTTGGTAGTACTCTTTTAAACAAGCAATTCTATGAATTAATTCTATGGTATTAATTCTATTGCAAGGTATTGAGTCTCTTTTCTTTAGATATTTCATTATAGTTTGAAACATGGCAGACAGCTTATGATTATCCTTAAAATATCCATGCTGCCCCATTTTATGTTGAAACTGCCAATTGAGGTATTATGTGTTACAACCAGTGGGTTTAAAATATTTATTGCTTTGGCACAATTCTGCTTCACTTGGGATTATCCTGTGAACTAGGCCTATGATATATAATATATATTAGTAGTCACATTAGAGTAAAAAATGTTATAGGATTCCATTTATTTCAGTCTTTATAAAGCTGATCCTCTGAATCTTTTTTTAAAAAAAGGATTAAGCAGGATAGTAGATTTAATTGCTTTTGCATGTAATGTTAAACCACTGGTAGATAATTTTCTTGGCACAAACTGAATTATGAGAATATTCTGTGGACTTATTACAAATGGCTACCATGATAGAACATGATCAATCACAAAACATCAATTTATCTAAATATAACCATACCTATTTCTGAAATGTCACTATAGCAGGGGTGTCAAACTCAATTTCATGGAGGGCCGTATCAGAGTTGTGTTTGACCTCGGAGGGCCGGAGGGTGTGTGTGTGGGGCATTGCCATGGTGGGCGTGGCCATGGTGGCCATGCCCATCATGGGCATGACATGAGACTCATGTCAGGGGCACCTGTGGTGGCCAAGTGCTAAGGCAGGACTTTCCTGAGATCCTCCTTCACTCTTATTATAATCTCCTTCCTTCCTTTTCTTCTTTTTCCTTACCTCTTCTTTTTCCTTCCCTATTCATTCTTTTTTCTTCTTCCTTCTCCTCTTTCCTTATTTTTCCTTCCTTGCTCTCTTTCCTTCTTTTTCTTTGTCTTTCCTCATTCCCTTTCTCCTTTCCTGTCCCTTCTTGCATGTTCAAATGCAAAAGGAGAAACATTTCTCCTTTTGTTTTGTTTTTAGTTTGTTTTGATAGCCCCCTAACTAACCACCAGAGGGCACCAAAATTACCTTTTTTATCTCTTTGCTGCCATCTATTGGTTGTCCATGTCTTTTCAGCCTTGATACACGAGTCCTACAATGTAAGTTGTCCATGGCAGCCTTTTTTGCTGTCTCCTACAACTTAAACCTTGACATGCTGGTGTCAAAGAATAATAATGTCTTACCTGAAGGGATAGGCAAAGGCTATGTCAATGCTGAGGTCGCTCTGTGTCCTGTTTGCGCAGTCCACGCTGAGCCGCAGTCCTCCAGAATAGCCACCACATGTTGCAAATGCAAAGACTGCAAAAAGCTGTGAAAAGATAATGATTCACCAAAGTGAATTCAGCACTTGTACATACTTATGACAACAGAAACAACAATGACTCTCAGAGGAGGAAGTGGACAGGTTCTTAACGGGAGTAAGAGAAAACTGTTTTCAGTAATACATTGATTATTATTTCTAGTTTCTTTGAAATTGCAAGCAAGAATGTGAAATTCTAATAAGAACCGACTCAAACTGGCCAGGGGCAAAAATTGCCCCAAAAGTTGCACTTTAATAAACTGCAAACTCATTATAATATGAGAAAACCCACACCTCCTGAATATTCAATTGGCCACTAACGAGAACAAGCTAAGAATATTATGGAATGCTGTGAACACAATCCATATATAGTTGCTGGGCATGCTCTCTAGATACTTATTGACTTAAATTTTGCTAGCCAATTGAAGAACAGGTTCCAAACCCATTATGTTTGAATTGCATATAAAGTGATTTCTCCTTTTGCTAAGGTTCTTTCCACCTTGCACCTGTGGGAGCCTATCCTTTACTTATGCATAGATAGGTATTAATAGCAATAGCACTTAGACTTATATACCACTTTATAGTGCTTTACAGCCCTCTCTAAGTGGTTTACAGAGTCAACATATTGCCCCCAACAAACTGGGTCCTCATTTTACCCACCTCGGAAGAATGGGAGGCTAAGTCAACTTGAGCCTGGTGGGATTTGAACTGCCAAATTGTAGGCAGCTGGCTGCAGAAGTAGCTTGCAGTACTGCACTCTAACTACTGCGCCACAGAAGCTCCTATTAATCTACCTTCTGGCTGGAATCCTATTTTGTCAAAGGGGACACCAGGCTAAAGAACCTTATTGTTGTTTACAGTTAGTGTTCTTATTGTAGTTTAGACTTACTTTCCTTGCTAACTTTTGGCTTATGTCAATTTTATATTAGGAGACTATGATTTGGTCTTGCAGATCAGTTTGAGATTTCCAAATCACACCTGGAGGTGTCAAATTGGATTAATGTCAATTACTCTTAGGTTATCAGAAATTGTGAACAAGAGCTTGCAAGTAATAATAATGCTAAAGCAGATTTATTGGCAGAAAGATACTTACTTCTGCAGTTCTTTAGTTATATAATCTTTCCTGAAGGTTTATGCTAATAAAACCCAAAACAAAAAAACCAAAAGCTCAGGAAGTTAAGCTGATTTTGTCAAATTATTTTCTTTGCTGGTTTCACCCTTTGCTTACTGTACCTGCTGGTGTTCATGGGTTAAATCTCATTAAATTCTCTTCTTAGGCATGCTAACTTCTGTAATATTGCATGCATTTTTAAAAAAATACCATATGCCTTATTTGGGAAATCAGACACCACTGGTGTTTGCTTTTAATCAGGAGATAGGAGACATGTTTTTACAAGTTACCTCAGAGTGAGTCATTTGGTATTGCAGCAAAATAAGAGAAGTAATTTTGTTCTACACTATTAGTATCATTACATTAAAAAAAAGGAATGCAGAATGTTATTTCAAATCAAGTAAAATTGCCGTTCACACAAACCACTTTTTAAAACAAATTCTGTTGATGACTGGATTTTACCAGACTTTCCCCCCCCTGCATATCGTATGAGCATTATCTACAATCTCTTTTTAAAAGCAATTTTTCATAAGTTTATAGCACGTTCTATATTCAGCTGTTTGGAAGTTCTGTTTCGTGTCTAAAAGAGGAACGCAACCATGAAAGAACAGCAGAAACAGAATCGTAATTAGATTTATCCGTTGACATGTTGTTACGTTGTTTTGTTTTACAAGGAATCCTAATGTATTTTCCTTTCTGAAAGCATTCCCTTGCATTACAGATCCATTCTGCTAGCAGCAGAAACTCAATTTTTCATTTATGAAATGGAAGTCACTGAGCCTTCCTCAAATTGGCCCTTCTAGATATGTTAGATATCAAATTTTTCAATTTCCTAATCATCTTAACTACAGTTAAAGCCAAATGGTTATCAAATATGGGAATTAAATTCAACATGTCTGGAGGATCCTAATATCAGAGAGAGGGTGGCCTGAAGAGATAAAGCAATAAATATAATGAAACAAACAAGGACAGGCCACAGTAGCTGAACTCTCCATTTTTTTTTGGTTAAAAGGTAGTCTTTGACTTACTACCGCAACTGAGTCCAAAATTTCTGTTGCCAAGCAAGACAGTAGTTAAATGAGTTTTGCTCCCATTTTATGATCTTTCTTGCCACAATTGTTAAGTGAATCACTCCAGTTGTTAAGTTAGTAACATGGTTGTTAAGTGAATCAGCTTCCCCATTGACTTTGCTTGTCAGTAGGTCACAAAAGGGGATCACATAACTTTGGGACACGGCAACCATAAAAAAAAAAATGAGTCTGTTACCAAGAATCTGAATTTTGATCTCATGACCACGAGGATGCTGCAATAGTCTTAAGTGTGAAAAAAGGGTGGTAAGTCACTTTTTCAGTATCGCTGTAACTTTGAACGGTTACTAAGTGAACTCTTGTAAATTGAGGACTACCTGTGTTTGAATGTAAAATGTAGAATTCCTTTCAATATTTGCCCACTATGCAAATATTACTTTTATATTGATATTGTCACTCTTATAAGGCATGACATGGGGTGACACATTCCTTAATTCAGAAGTGGTATTCAGCAGGTTCTGACCAGTTCTGGAGAACCGGTAGTGGAAATTTTGAGTAGTTCGGAGAACCGGGAAATACCACCTCTGACTGGAGATTTTACAGTATCCTTCCCCTGCCACGCCCACCAAGCCACGCCCACAGAACCAGTAGTAAAACAATTTGAATCCCACCTCTGCCTTAAATGTATGTTTTGTCCATATACCTAAATGCTGTACCAATTTCATATGCTCCGCAAGCAGCCTCCTCACTCAAATTATATACAAATCTATAGTTTTCATAAATGCCACTCCTTCCTTCCTATCCATCCATCCATCCCATCTACAAAGAGCAGCTATCTCCATTAGTACTATTTCTACATTTTACTCTGACTATAGTAAAAACAACAACCGTAAAGCAGGAATGATTATGCTAAACAAACAAATAACTTTGTTTCTCTATAAATAGTACTTATTTATTTATTTGTATCCCTCCGTTATTATTTTTAGAATTAACTTAAGGTAGTGAACATAACACCTTCCTCCTCCTCCTATTTTCCACATAAGAACAACCCTGTTAGGTGGGTTGGGCTGAGAGAGAGTGAGAGGCCCAAGGTCATCAAGCTGGCTTTCATGACTAAGGCAGGACTTGAACTCATAGACTCTTGCTTTCAAGTCTGGTGTCTTAAACCACTAGACCAAACTGGCTCTCCCACTTTGTTATTGTTTTCCTCCCATAGTCTAAAGGGGAGACCCATAGTTATTTGAGAAAAAGGAATGGCTCTGATTTAATTGTCAAGAACAATATAGCGAAGACAGTACTTTGATACATTTCAGTCAATTATACTTTGCATACCACCCTTTAATATAACAGTCACCCAGGTTTTGATTGACAGAACATGCAAACAAGATGTGCTTCCTGTGGTTGGAGACTAGAGTGTTTGTTGTTGTTGTTAGTTGCGAAGTTGTGTCCAACCCATTGCAACCTCATGGACAACGTTCCTCCAGGCCTTCCTGTCCTCTACCATCTTCTGGAGTCCATTTAAGCTCACACTGACTGCTTCAGTAACTCCATCCAGCCACCTCATTCTCTGTCATCCCCTTCTTCTACTGCCCTCAATCTTTCCCAGCAAGTCCCTCATTCTCATTAGGTGGACAAAGTATTGAATCTTCAAGATTGGTTTGATCACCTTGCAGTCCAAGGGACTTGCAGGACTCTTCTCCAGCACCATAGTTCAAAAACTTCAATTCTTTGGCGCTCAGCCTTTCTTATGGTCCAACTCTCACAGCCATACATTGCAACTGGGAAAACCATAGCCTTGACCATATGCACTTTTGTTGACAGGGTGATGTGTCTGCTTTTTAGTGTGCTGTCTAGAAATATATAAAAGGAGAACAAAGTTGGATTGTATAGCTTAGAAAAAGAAGCAGAAGAACAATCTTTCTGTCAGTCCAATAATTTAATTGCAAATAGTCTTCAAACCACCAAAATGATACCTCAATACATGGTCATCACCAGATAGAATATTCAGAAATTAAATTGACTTTATTATTAATGCAACAAGATGGAAAAGCTCATTTATACCAGCAAAGATGGGGCCAGGATCTGACTGTGAATCTGATTATGAACTGCTGATGTGCAAATTCCAAATCAAGATAAAATGGACAAAGCCAACCAGTTTCTATGCTATGGTTTTGAGCAAATATCATTTTTAATGACAATATCAAGAATCACTCTGAAATCCTGAAGCACATGGATAGTGTACTACAGGAACCTTGGGATGAAATCAAAATGTTAAAGATGAATGTGGAAAGAAACCACCAAAGATCAAAAACAAGAAAAAAACTAACAAACTAACGTAACAAAGAATTCCAGAGACCTCTTACAAGAGCGAAGAAGTAATATTTCATTGCAAAGACACTGAAGATGGAAGCAGACATAGAAAAACAAGGAAAACATTTAAAAAAAAAATCCAAACTCGGAGCTTCCAAGTTCAGATTGGTACATTAATGGATGCTAATGGACAGACAGTAGTAACTGATTCAAACTAAAATGGAAGGAATATATTGAAATTCTGGGCAATAGAGATGTCATAATCCCATTTGGAGACAGGCAACAGGGTGTCTTCTTTGGCATGTAGAACTACAGGAACCACTATACTTTCAGCCAAAATAATGCAAGGGCACCAAAGTTAGCAAGATCATGGATTATATACACTAACTTCAGAAGTGCTACATAGGAATGATACAAGAAATTCATTAAATAATACGGTGTGAATTTTGCAGGAAGAATGTAACATCTGATATGTGTTGCCTTTACCACGGCTACCCCAGCACTTTACATTCTTTTCTATCAATGGGACTATAGATCAGTGGCCCCCAACCTTTTGGGCA